ACTGGTATACCGCCTACGGTCTGCCATAAGTACTGGAAGATGTAGCCATGCGTCGTCCAAGGACTCGAGTATGAGGGACCTTGCTGCACCATGACAACGCACCTGTACACAGGTCCCATGTAGTCGTAGATTTTCTGGCTAGAGAACGCATCCAGCAGGTTGGTCAGCCGTCCTACAGTCCGTACCTGTCCCGGTGTGACGTTTTGTGTTCCCAAATGTCAAGCGCATGATGCGTGGAATGCGCTACGAGTTTCCAGAAGCCGCAGTAGAGGCCTTAATTGAGCTGCTTGAAGGGTTACCCGCTTCGGTGTGGTCTAACCGCTTCACCAAATGGCTTGAGCGCATGGAATTGTTCAAGAATGCCGGTGGAGAGTGCGTGAGGAAAATGTAATGCATACATTGTTGCAAAATATAAAACTTTTTGTGCATCCGGAAGCTTATTGCTTTACCTTCGTATCTTATTACCGTATGATTTAGGTTTGCAATTATGTAAGGGCACATGTAATACATTAGAAACGGGATTTACTTGAAAATAGGATTTGTGCCCTGCTATTTACAACGAGAAAGTAAGGTATGCTACCTTTTGCATAGGAGCTTCGTATATTGACCACCGTTCCGTGTGGACCATTTTGGTTTAATTCTTTTAGTGATTGACTTATGGAGAGTTTACTGCAATTGCTCAACCATGATGCTCGATAGTTCGTTCGGAAATCGCTTAGAGATGTCCAACGGCTCGACTGCCAGGCACAAAATTACGCAACCCAACGTGAATGCATAACCGGGGTGTCAAGCTGGGTAGCCGTGACAAGGCCATCTTGACAGTCACGCTCATGGTTAAACCCATAGTTGTAGCTATCTCTACTTCACAGGTCCAGAAAAATAAGAAACAGGATGCAGAGACTAGATCCGGGAGTAACAGAAGTTCGAAATGCTCCTACACCAGATGCGTTACCACTGGACGAACTGATATCAGTTGCTGGTGAATGGAACTGAGATTGCATGCCGAAACATGGGACGAGTAATCGAACCACCCAGTCGAACACGATGGCCCGCTTGGTCAAAAAGGAGGCCGACTTTACTCGAGACAGAAGCGAAACGTCAGCTGGAGGACCAGAATGAGGTCGCAGTCGCAATTTGCCGCCTAGTCACTAGGAATGCGCAATCCTAAAGGGTCCCGATGGTACAAAGTGACAATGGAGGACCCTTCCAATGTGCACTGACTATCTGACTGCGTCAAGAATAGGAGAATGCGATTTGAATTGGTAATTTGTTGTTTGGGTTTCGCAAGGTCGATGGGTGTGGGTTCGGTTCACTTAACCAACTACGTTTCACGCAAATTAAGCGTGCTGGAACCAACTGTCGACGTATGTGTTGCTATAGTATTAAGTAAGGTTGGTAGGAAAATAAGGTGAAACGCAAGTAGAAAACAAAAGAGGTCAGAAAAGAAAAGGACAGCAAACACAAAGGGGTCGGAATGTCAACAGCTGGATGCAACAAGTCAAAGATAGGAGCGTCAAGGACGCCTTAGCTACCACTTGCCGAATAGGGTTACAAACCGCGGACGTGACTAAAAGCGAGGTATCCATCCATCCTTACTAAGTCCACTGATTGTTGGTTGCTTCATAGCTTTATGCCACGTAATTAACTGGATATCTTGCAGTTTCACCCAGCTAGATACCACGTTGGTATACTGAAGGAGGCGGTCAACGGGTATGCGGAGGATATGACCACCATAGCGTAAGCGGTTCCAGTTTAACAGAAGCTCCAGTAGGACATCAAGGTGGCGCTTTCCAAACACCAACTGGCGGCATTGCTCGCTCGGTGCTTCCACCGGGCATGAGCGACACCACTCAAGTGCCAGTGATCAAAGACGCCCAGTGTTTTAACGCTTTCAGTAAATAGTATCCAGGTCATTAGTCTATACACTAACACCGGCCTTATCGCAACCCGTATACACTTCTCATCCGACCAACAGGCCAATATCCCTCCATCACTGCAGAGCACTGGCGAGTTGAAAAAGTAAACGGGCTCGCTGAACCGCGGTGTGGCGTACTGCGGGAGGTGACAACCATTGATGACAACTGTCTAGATAAGTGAGCTGATCAAACTCTATGAGCGGCTGTTCTGTATTGATTGGAACGCGCCGTCCAGCCATCAAACAACACCCCAAAATTAGTGGGTAAGGATTGATACGGTCATTGGTTATGCCAAATCCATCCACCGCCATCCAGCCGGAGGGGGTACCAATGCTGCGTTGGAGCGCGTGTACATGAGTGCGTGTGTATTTTTGTATCAACCAATCAGTGTCTGCTATGGATTCGGTTCGAAATAGAAATCGCTCACGTGCCCATGTGACTACTAGCTCAGCTCTTGCTTGCTCATATGTGCTGAGTGGAGTGTACCACCTTACACTTATTAGTAAGGTTTTCCTACTACCGTATCGCTGTTCTGATTTCCCTTGGGTGTAACAAATTGGCGACGGAGATTATTCGTATTACTCATGGCAAATTCAATTGCGACATCTCTGCCTCTTTGGAATTCTTCTACTAAAAGACCTACTACCCAGCAATGGACACAGTGGAAAACTAGCTTCATGACTTACGTTGTTCTACTTTTGCTTCGTGACTGCAACAACACGGTTGATGATGCAGTGAAAATCAAATTAGTTCGTCACCACCTCGGGGATGAGGACCAGCGACATTTCGACAGTTTGCAATTACATACAAAAAAGACCTACAATTTGTGTCCTATTCCCTGGAACAACTTTTGGGGGCAAGTCACATGCGCTCACAGCACGCTACAAATCCTACACCATGCGACAACAACCGAATGAGGGTGTAAATGAGTTTATCTCACGAGTACTTACTGCGCGCCATGATTGTGCATTTGATCAGATTCCACCGACCCAGTACGAAGAAGTAATGCTGTTACAGGCATTAGTTGTGGGTGTTCTCAATGAGAAGGCACAAGATTGGCTGCTATCCGAAGACGAAATGCTCCTGACTTGGGAAAAGGCCTGTGATATAGTCCGACAGCGTACAAACGTCGTTCGGGAAGTAACTGCATTTCTCTCATTCAAACAGTTGATCACACAGGACGTAAACAAAGTCTCCTAAGCTAGCCGGGACTACACCGCTGCGGTGAACGTCACTCTTCCCCAACTAATCGTCAGCGCCTTTATTCAGTGTGCAGATTTTGTGGCAAAAAAAGTCATATTCAGCAGGTATGTCTCTAAGCGGAAATCATTTGAACAACACCGAGAATTGGATCAATGTCACAACATAAGGTCAGAAAAGCCATTTGTCTCGGCTGTCAAGGTAAACAGGCAATCTGTGGATTTTGAAATTGATACTGATTCTGCAGTTACCCTGATGCGACTTATCACGACTGCCAAAGTTAGATTTACCGAATATACAGTTGCGATCATACACTGGACAGATAGTGAATGTGCTGGGTACATTTATTGCACGCATCTCTTACCGTAATTCAAAGAAACATGTGTGTGTGTACTTTCTGGTGTACCGGGCCCAAACATACTTGGTCACGACGGAGTTAAACGTCTTCCCAGCATCATGTGGAACGTCAACTTAGTGGAAACCCATGCACAGTTATGTGATATCCTGCATAAACATGCGGTTTTGTTCGATGAGTATAAACCAGGCCTTTAGAAAAATTACGCCGCTCGTCTAGTGTTGAAACCATAGGCAATACTGAGGTTTTGGAAAGCTGGAGCTGTTCCATATGCTCTTCGTGATAAAGTCGAGAGTGAGCTGTGCCGATTCCAGCTGGAGGGCACAGTTCACTCTGTCCAATATTCGGATTGGACAGTCCCTATAGTGCCAGTATTGAAGAGTGATGGTGCCATAAGAACCTGTGGGGATTAACAGGTTACGATCAAGCGGACATCAGAGCTAGACAGATACCCGATGCCAAAGAGTGAAGACATCTACGATTCACTCACCTGTGGTGAGCCTTGTACCAAACAAGATCTCAGCCACGCCTACCAACAAATTGAACTCGATGAGGAATGACGTGTATACACCAGCATTAGCATTCATCTTGGATTATTCTGCCACACACGCATGACACTCGAGATAAGCTCGGCCCTGGCTATCATCCAGCGTATGATTGACACGCTGGTGAAGGACATGTGCATATCTGGATGACACCTTGGTTACTGGATGAACTATCACCGAACAGTTTACATACTTTGGATGTCGTCCTAAAACGAGTATCAGACGCTGCATTGGTTTAAAAAAAAGAAAATGTGTGAATTCCTCGGGTATTGGTTATCACGAGAAGAATTATACTTTTTAAAGTGGATGACAAGAGCACTAGTTTAAGCGCCAGCACCGAAAAATGTCCATGAACTGCGGTCATTCTTGTGTGCCCACTCTTCCAGGTTCATACCATCAGCAGCAACCACCCCATGCGTCCCGTTACTACGTGTAACGGTGCATCGTTGGAAGCTGTCAACGCACTGAGTTGGACTATTTTCTCTCTATTTCTAGTATTTAGTTGTAGGGTCCTCATGGCGGTATGGCATCGCGGCACAAGCGTGATGGTACTAGTGTCCAGCTGTTGGAGGTAATGAGAGATTTTTAATGCTCAAATGTGGAATTCCCATTAAACAATCCCTACCGAGCTGACAACACAGGCTAGGAAGAACCATGGGCAGCTAGCTCACTCGGCTATGGGATTCAACGGTAGCGGGAACACCGTCGACAAGGTGTGGGAAAGAGGATTGAATTCCAATCACATTCACTGGATGGAAGCTGACCATGGTGCACCGTGACAGACCGATTGGATAGATTTATGATCAATTCCATATCGTTGGGAATGCATGATGGAGGTGATGAGTTACCGATCTAAACGAAAAAAAGATGAATCATATCGCTGCAGTCTTGGGGTCACGATAGAGAATCAGTTGCCTAGAAAACACATAACCTGGTGGATTTAGGCAGGGCAAACAGTTTGGGGGACGTGTACCATTGACTCACACAGGTCCGACTCAATCTTCTGTCTCAACGCCTGTGTTCGAACTTTTCCCCCAGGGCGCCGAAAGATTCCGTGGGCGCTCACTCCAACAAGTGAAATATGGTCCATCATTCGGCTGATGGCCAATGGCAGAGGACATCCCAAACGACGTTGCCAACTTTCGAGGGATTGACCGAACACAGGACCTTCGTAGGCAGTGCGGTGTTGGAACTCGGTGTGTGGTTGCTGTAATGAGGCAGTCGTAGTGGATGAGTTAGCCGGATGGGTTTCTGTGCCCGAAGAACTGCAGACTGAAGTAGTGATTGGGACACACGGTCCCGAGACGTGCAGGTCAGGTCGTTTGTGAGAGTGAGGTGATACGCCCGCATACGGTGAGGTGGAGTCTCCAGAGTTATTGGCTCCGCGATACTTTAGAAACCGCCTGAAATGAAGATATTTGAAAAAAACTTCTCATGACATAGAAACAGTATACGAGCTTGAATATACACCTTCGGAGTTAAGAAATTCAGACTAAATTGGACCGCCCGTCAACTGATACCGCGTAGCGTTGAAACTAACCTACTCAAGTTAATGGCATTGTCCATCAGCCTCATCGACCTCTCCGGTTGCCGCGTACTTCTTTCACTGGCGACCGGAAGGTTTGGAGAGTAATTAATGTTCCCGACGATTGTGACGCACTTCAACACGATATCGGCTGTTTGTGTATTTGGTTTTTATAAGTCGGTCCGCAGTCCAACCAGGTTAGGTCGTCATGTATGAGGTTGGGATAGGGTAATGATGGGCGATTGTACACTCTGTCCGGCAAACGGTTCCATCCCACAACTTTCTTGGAGGACCTGAGTGTACTCTCTCACTGTGAGTTGAAAGCAGTGTATAACAAAATACTACGCGGAAACGGAACGCACATACTTCAGGTGCTCGAACGCAGCTTCCGCACTTGGTCTGAAGAGTCTGTCATTTATCTCTATCGTTTCAGCATAAAACCAATGCCAGAGTACGGTTCACCTGCTTATTGTCCGATCATCCGTGGTGAGAACAAAAGTTTCAATAAGTTTAGCATGTAGTGACCAAGATCATCCCAATGCAACGGATATGTCGTACAAAGACGTATGTAAGAGACTGGGTCTGTACATGCTGTCGTACCGTAGGTTTCGAGTTGACTTCATGATAACCCATCGGACTTTACCTCTGGGTGACTCCCATGTTAAAACCCCTGTTCCACGTATGAGCAGCAAACAGTACACGTGGGCACCAATACTATCCTGTAGTACCGGGCCTGAGGCGTCGAACGTCCGGTAGTGAAACATTGGAAAAGTTTGCCAAAGACAACAATTGAGGCAAAATCACCGTCCGAGTTCAATAAAAGCTTACACACACACACGTTGCAGATCGTGTATCTAGAGAGTTTATCCCGCTTGAATGAGCCACTGCACGAGTAGTATATGTTGCCCAATAAATTTCGATGGAGCTACACAAATACAGATCTCACTTTTGAGTTGCAGCATTCAATATTCAAAGACTAGAGGAGGAACAGTTACTATGAGATTCCGACACCAACACCGAGTACGTGTGGCCATGTTTATTGTTGACAGTAAACTGAACGGCTGCTAACTCCGACGATCCGTACAGACATTAGCTGCGCAACCAAGACGGCCTCAATCGGCCTGCTTACCCAGAGACTATGGATGCGCCCGCCTTAAGGTCTGTGATTGAAGTTGGTCTGTTCAACTCAAGAGCCGTTGGCCTACACAAAAGAATGCGCACACATGCGCCCAGAGTGCTAATCTACGACGGTACGAAGTTTGATCTCGTCAAGGCCAGCTAGTTGGAGCATGGGCCGCGCCTGTCGTCGGCACCTAGCGCTCACTTGTCAGAGTCAGTGACTCGTAAGGAGGGAATTATGAGTTTGGCAGATTCACGTGGTCAACGAGTCCAGTGCGGTAGAAACGCTGCCAAGCGCTTGTTTGACGTGCAGCAGCTATCTGGCTAAATCTAGCTGCAATAAACAACACGATATAAAAGATTTCCATATTATTCTCTGACGATTAACATTTTTCGTTATCTTTCGGCTAAATGAGCGAACATAGTTGCCTCGACTGCGCGTCGGTATGCGAATGATGATCCACGGATGTTTCGAAATCCACACACGCACACACACACACAAACATGTGTGAACGGCACACATGAGTGTGCGATTCAGTGACGACCCAGCAAGTAAACAGAGCACATCAGCTTTAAGCCCCAATAAAATCCGGTTCGTACAGCCACAATTGGAAATTGCTGCCGGTCAATTCTCTTGTGAAGCATACACCAATGAAATAGTAGGCGTAAAGCGAATAATTACTTCGAATACTTCTGCATCGGGCATCCCAGGGATATATTCTATAAAAGAATGAAGTCAAACAAAGAGCACAACGCGAATAAATTGGCCGGATGGTTTGAATTGTGCTCATAATGGGAATTAGGTGGTCATGTGAAGGAAGAGATCAGAACACCTATAGCTCGGATTTGGTGGTTGACATATCGATTGGTTCTCCAACTATATTGATTCCATTGCTAACCGGAAAAAAGGTAAAAACATCAAGGAAAACCCGTTGTTTCAGTAATTAATCTCTTGACTTCGACTGTGCATTGATTTCGAAGATTCTGGAACCTGTCATTCTTTCACGACGCCACCAACTTACGGAGGGTTGGCAAGGAAGCTACTAATTTTACTAGTTGACCCTCGTTTTCTAAAAGCCGAAGGCCATTAAGCGACCTACAAATTTGGTGCAGGTCGGGGCAGTTGTACAGCTTTTGGTGAACCTATTTTTCTCGGTCAAGGTCGTTGGACTTCTGATTTCTATTCGGCTTGACTAGAAGTCTTGCGAATAAGTTTGGGTGTTTAATTGGGAATAGCGAGAAAATTTGGTAGATCTGACAATTGCAATCGGATCTTTCAGTTCGGAGAACCAATAAACATCTCACCGCGTGAGGGAGTTCGTGTGGAGGTTCGATGAGGCATCACCTTCTTTACATTTACAGCTGACCAGGGTGAATCTAATGACTGGACCAATTGCTGTTAAATTCATACATTTGGATGTGGCCAGTTTATTTATACTCATGCGCGATACCTGGAAAGCGAGCTTTAACGTAGGCGTATCACCCCGACGGTATCCGACATAGAATCTCCGAAAGGGCTAGCTTGTTTATCTGATACCTGGCGCTAACTGGACGCATAGTAACCCCGATGAAACTGGTGTTGACTCTTCCTCGCAAAGGAGATAGTGCATATGAGATTTGCACACTACGACCCGGCAAAGTTGCGGAACGCATCTTAACGCGATCAACTTAAATGTTGAGTATAAGCAGTAACCTATAACGACACCTAGACTCAAAGATAAACTCCCAGACGATCTCCAATCAGTCGTAACTTATAGGTTCACCTGTTTTAGTAGATCCAGGCACACTGGACGTGAAACCGACTTGACAGCGATGACGCGAGGACATTGAATGACAACACATCTCATAAGTAAACAGAATGTTGCAAAGCACTCAGAGCCAACATGACGATCTCGATCAAGTGAAAGTCACGTTGATTGTGTGAGTGACTGCGTGCGAATGTTAAATCAGAAGTCCGCACGCGAGACGAGGTGCGAAGGTGGAGATTGGATCAACACGGTGGATTGTGTACATTGTGGGCCCATAGCATAATCAACCAAGTGGTGCACGGAGTGATTGCGTAGTGGATATGATTTGCCAGTGAAATTAGTAAAGATTATTAAGATAATTAGGAGCAACAGTAGTGTCAGCAGAAAGAGGTTGCGGTGCAGATTGCCGACTGAGACGTTGGTCCCAGCATTTGTGCACACAAAGATAGAGAAGAATTTAAAGAGAGAAATCGACACCGTTGCAAATCAAGCCAAACGGACAAACAGTATAGGGATACGGGAGGAATACCTGTTACATAGGCAGTGGCTGAATAATAGAGTAGACAGGAAGTTGCAAAAGGAAGAATGAGAGAAAAGATTGAGCTAGCAATGTGTGATGGGGAGAAAGAGGGCAAGCAGTTCAATTATCGACAGAAAGGAGTGGGCCACATTGACAAAAAAGTAACTGCTTCACTGTGCAGAAAGTAAGTGGCCTGAATCCAAGAGAAAGAGTGACAAGGGGTTGGCGATGCATGTTGATCATTTAGAGGAAACCATACAAAGGCACCAACGCAGGTGACTGATAGAGCTGCGTGAGCATGTTGTGATCGTTAGTAAAAATAACATGGGAAACAAGGGCACAAAATAATGCAGACCCAATAGATTAGTGGTAAATGCTACGCTGCTGTCGTGGGCTCACAAGATCAAGCACACGATGTAATGAGGACGAGCGACGACGCGAGTTTCACAGAGTGTGTGTTGAAATCCCTATTGCGGCTATCAAGTGCAGTGGCGGTCTTGGAAGAGGCGGCGCGTTATGTGGACCATCGAAGCCATTGGGCACCGGACAAAATCCATTCGTCGTAAAGTGTTCAGCTGCTTCCATCCTACGGTCGGTTTTGCTAATTCGCTGTTACTTTGGCCTGTGATTGGACCATCGTCTCGTTCATTACGGCTCCGTGAGCGAAATCCCATTGGCCGTATGTCGTTCTGACTTCATTGCATACGGATCAGTCGAAGTTCTTCGTGGCTCGGAGGTGACTGCGAATTACAAAGTCACTTTGGACCAAACATGATCATGGCTGGCCGGTTTACTAGTTGGTTGCGTCAGCGAGCGACAGGCTGACAATATCTGATATGCTCACGGACCCTTTGTCTGTCTGGCGGCTCCAAAGTTTAAATCAATACCAAACTGTGCACCATCAGAAGTGTCAACATTTTGGTGTGCGTATCAAAGCTCCAGTAATGATGGAAGTCCAGTAATTAAGTCGCTTGGGTATAAGGTCAGTCACCACAATCATAATCTTGCAGTACAGCACATAGGTATAATACTTAGGAACAACGAAATGAGAAGAGATCTTAGGTCCCTGTTTTAATGGTAGGAGCCCGCAGAGGAACGTATGAAGAAAAAACAGTCTTAGCTACGGTATCTGTTTGAGGCGAAAACAACGAGTAAAGATCGTGTGGGTAGGAATTCACCACATCTAGGCCCAGTCACACAGCTCTCACAAGCCTGGGAAAGCGCTGTACGGCCGTTTCACCCGTTCGTGGGACGGCAATGGCCGTGGTGAATAAAGATTGATCGACGAGTTCAACCGTGGGGCACGCTAGTTAGCCATAAAAGCAATACGAATAGATCAGTCAAGAATGTGTATGAAATTGGAGTAACTAACTGGTGCAGTAAAGGATGATGGGGACTTACCAGGTAAACGGTGATCGATTCACACAATGCTTCTCGGCCAGACTGGTCAACTGAACCAGAGAGAGTTGCCTCAGCGTGGCCAACTGGTTGGCATTCAGCGACCACATGGAGACGGCTGACCCATAGTCTGGGCCTGAACTCCACAGTTCCGGGCTGAGTCGAGTGTCCAAGACGGATGGCTCGTCTGTCATGCTAGTGGTCGGTTCAGTCACAATCGGCACACGTTTGTCTGCCGAAGAAGTTAGGCGGTCGACACTGCCAGTCTCCGCTGCCATAACAGATGCGGCTTTTCGCGGCCGATGGGACGCATAGGAGCGTGGGTGCGTTCGACCTGGATGCACGGCGCCCGTGGACCTGTCCGCACCATGCCGACCAGTATGCGCTCCGCTGGACCATCGAAAAGGGTGATAACGAGCTCGGGGTCCAAAAGCACCACCTGATGTGGGCTCAGTATTTTCTGGAGCGATGCTGTGAAAAAGTGGGTAAGACTGCGGTTTAAAGAAAGGGTCCCAAAAAAGATAGTAACTAGAAGCGACGGAATAGGAAGCATAAAAAGCGTCAAGCGTTTACACATGACTCAGCAATGGGTTGGACTAGAATCTAAAACACAATTCGTTCCAACGTTGATGTGAACTGTTTGTCAGCGATAATCAGCTGCCAGCAAGCGACGATTGTCCATGGAATGTTATGAGAAGTGTTCGAAACTATGCTTAACATATATTTATAATGAGGGCCAATTCCCCGGGAAGTGTGAAAAACGGCACTTCAAAGTAGGTGATACCTGCGCTTCTACATTCAAACTCCCTGCAATCATCCAGATGGATGCAAGAATACTGGTGTGTGTGTGTGTGTGTGTGTGTGTGTGTGTGTGTGGCACAATGCAGCGGCCATTGCAGTGACTACTAAACTCTTCAACATACCTGAACGGCTTATGTTACGTTCAGCAATTTATTCGCGCCTCTGTTATCACCCACCTCAGGGTGTTTGGCGTGCAGGATGGATGAGACCCCGGACTAACAGAGATAAACAAACTTCTCGTAGATAATGCCTATAGGAATGTAAGAAAAACACGGCTGCAAAGACATCTCTTTTCGGCAACTCACATCAGGCAAATACGTTTACAAGCACAACTGGCATACTCATAAGCTAATGAAACCTGAAGCGAAAGTAGGAGAGAGTTTGAATTTATTCGGACGGAAGTTAAATTGATCCGGCCAATTGGTAAACAAACTTACTGTTACGAAGGAATACGCTAAGGGAACAACCGAGGCGCCCATGACCGTTACGGAGCCAAGGCATGACAGGCGAGCCAAACTCACCTCGCACGGATTGTGGCGAACAGATAGCCAACCGGGTGAAGCGGCCAATTAACACGAGGGTAGCATTACTTGATTGGCCGCAAGTTGACCCTTCTGGAATTTCCCACGTGCGCTTTAAATACCATTCACGAAATTTCGATTTTATATTTATAATGAGCGGTGTAGTTGGCTAATGTACCCTGTTCCTCTGCTCCTCCGGTCCGGTCTTCTCTCTCCGCTGTGGGGGCCAGCGACCTCGAGTTCCCATTGAGAATAAATCGTCAATTCAGGAGAGGGAGGACCAAAGGATTAAGCCACATCGATGTGCTCTGTGATGACCAGTAAAGGAATGTACAAGATTAGGGTACAAATCTGCCGTTAGGAATGGTCGCAGGGTGAAACCGATCCGGGAGAGGATCGAGAATCCGGTGTGGCTGGCTCAGTTCGTATTCAGGGTGGCGGACGTGAAACAGGTCGTTATGCCGACTGGTTGATTACAATATGTGGTGGATACCACAGCGATTGACATAAATAAAACGAGAGAATCTTTTGTAATGTAGGGAATACGCTTTCGTCCAATAGAAATCGCCACAAAGCAGACAGTCCAGGCAGAGGCAGTCCACAGTTGGGAACGTTGCAACATAGCAACAAGGTATACCTGGGAATCGGCGCTGTGCCCAGTAACTACAGGTAAGCAAAATAAGAGGAACACGCAGCGTCATGACGTCGGGTGGTCATGATACGCGCGGCAGCGTCAGCCTCCACATGAGAATTCTGGAATAAAATGGCGCGCATAACAGATACCCACTCAAAAATATTGTCGTTAATCGTCGGAATGAACTCCAGAGTCAATTGAATATCATTGATCAATGACACAGGATTGACGCTCATCGCTCCCAGAAGTTACAGCATTATGATCACCTATGGTAACAGGTCCGCGAGTAGCGGCTGAGCAAGACGCATGGGATTTAACTCGTCGATGCCATCACTGACACCATGACGCAAGCACATTCCAACTAATTTAATAGAATCGGTCGATTCTTAGCCAAAGTAGTGGATCTCCGTTGCTTCGACAGCATATTCCATGACAATGTTCTCGTAACAAGAAGTAGAAGGCACCAGAATCACGCAGATCGGTTGGCATCGAAGTTCAATTTGTAAACAGCTGAAGAAGCTGGATCCGACAAAGAGTGGCCTGCTTGTCATCCGGCGCCACCACAAGCGTGACTGTCCACCTACGATCACCGGAAGAGTGTACACGAAGCCGTGGGTCAATAGCATGCCGCGGATATCTTCCGACAAAAGAAAACAAACGCAAATAGGCTGAGTGGAGGTAAGGTTATAATGCCAACGTCGATCGACCAATAGACTAGACTGCTTAAAATCCATTCGTCTGTGTCGCAGGGGCATCGAGGTAAAGTGTCCCTGAGGCCAGAGGGCACAATACCAGATGAGGTCGAAGGCCGATTCTCTGGTGCCATCAGGCCCAGAAGTGGTGTGTTCACAAAAAGCCGACGAAATAATCAGTTGTTCTACAAAAGCAACAACTAAAGGATCCCAGGCCTAGGAACACAACGTTCGTTTCCTCATGGTCTGAGACAAATTGTGTGGGTAAGTGTGAGAAGATAAGCAACAAATACAGGAGCCAGGAGAAATCGAATCCCGATAACCGAAATGTGAAGCGAGATTGCACAGAACTCCGAAAACGAATCACGTCCTCACGAGGTTCGAGAATGGGGTCGAAGTGAATCGCATCATCGTGTTGAGATTCCAGCATGGTCAGATACAGGAGCAGTAGGTAGTCGATTCGTAGGTTTTCAAACGGTCAAAGTTAGACTTGACTGACCGACAACTAGGGAATGGCGAGAAATATCGCTCAAACGATGCCATCCGCTCTGTAAGTTGATAAAGAAAACTTGGGGTGGTAATACACCAAGTGCTTCTTAGCGGATGAGCCGATGGTGGTCTGTACCGCCAACAACAAGACTCGATTAGGATAAACAGTAGAAAAAATGGGGTCATCCATCAACATCTGCGAAATACACTGACTGAGCTTTGAGGTCGTAACGAGGCAGACTGAGAATAGAGTCGCTGACAATACACCCGCCAACACACACACACACTATACACGTCAGCTAGAGGTGGGAAACACCTCAGCTACTGTGCCACAATACCAAAAGAAAAAAGGGAATAAAATACAACAGGTGCAAGCCAGCTGAGCTACCGGTAACGGATGGGCATCGTTCCGGTAAGCTATTTGCCGGCTACTATGCAGCAGAAAAAAAATAATTTAATATGCAAAATTATATAAGGCTAAATAATGAGATCGTGGTTGGAGGGGGAGGATAAGAGGGATGGGGTGGGACAAAGAAACGTACAGCACGAACGCCACTGAGGTCGGCTTCTAGCCATATCAACAAGCGTATCCGGCCAAAGGTGTTCATCGCCTTTCGGACCCAAAGCAGGAGACGCTCCAACTGAGGCCAGCCTCAAAGTGAAGGCCTTCATTCCTCTCGACCAAGTCATCGCTTGGCCACCCCTCCTCTTCTTCCATCCATACTCCCTGGCGCGCAAACAACGCACGTCGCGGGAGTCGGTGGGCTGGCATGCGTAACACGTGGCCCAGACATCGGAACCTAGTGTGTGATGTAGTGGTGCTGAGTGGTTCACTTGCTCTTCCTGCGCTACTATCCGAATAATAGTAGACCTAAGGAGGACAGGGAGCACAACACCTCTTTGGGGCCAAGATGGGGCTAGCATGTAAGAACCCAGTTGACCATGTATATCAGCGCTTGTAAAGAAGTGCTAACATTTTATTGATTATTCTTTTATTAATTCACTGATATATGTAGCTGGTGAGATCGAATGAGTAGCGATGAAACCCCCATTTGGAGCATCGCAGAACGCCTTCTAGTACCTACCCGGAGTGTCAGTTAAACTTGAACGGTCAAGATCGACCAAGGCATTCTATCGTCTACCTTCCGAACGCATGCCTCGACGAGGTGCTTACCAGGGCTGTATGGAGTCGGACAAAAACGTAAAGTGACAGATCGGGGGCTAGGTGAAAGACAAAAAAAGCTTATTGGGATGTTTATTCGGACCGCAACATACCATACTGCATAACTAGGATTTTGGAATTGGGTGAAACAATGATTGGGGATCACGTTCAAAGTGATGCAGCACCAAAGACAATGGCGTTCCTGCATTCTTCTTATTGTCTCTTGTTCGTAACCCATCTAGATGCAAGATTTCTGACTCTCCATCTACCGGATTTGGTCTCCATAGAGGGATCAATATGATTTCGATTGCCTCTAAATTGCTTGCCTCTGTCATTCTCCACAGACTGACTGGCACTCGTGAAAGCCAGATTCGTGAAGAGTAAGCCGGATTTCGTCGAGGTCGGGGATGCATCGACCACATTTTCACCTTGCGTCAATTGTTGGAGCACCGCCATGTTTATTGACGATCCACCGTTGTCGTGCTTCTTGACATAAAAGGTGCCTTCGACTCAGCCGATCGACGTGTCCTTTGGGACTGTCTACTCAGGAAAGGTGTGCCTGATAAATATGTAAACATTAGCAAAGCGCTGTACGCGCATAGTTCAGGCAGAGTGAGGGTTTATGGCAAACTGTCGCCACCCATCAGTATCACCAGCGGTGTGAGACGAGGTTGCCTGCTGTCACCTTTCCTCTTCAACTTCGCTATTGATGAAGTCATGGAAACAGCGTTCGCTGGACACGACCTAGAAGGTGTGGAGCTACTCCCTGGTGAGCGACTTCTTGACTTAGAGTATGCGGACGATATTGCCCTAATCTGTGACAGCTCCCAAACATGCCAAGCAGCACTGGACTGATTAGCACTGGCTGTCAATCGTTTTGGGCTATGCTTTGCTCCATCGAAATGCAAAGTACTTCTCCAAGATTGGCAGGGACCCAACCCTGCGCTAACGCTTGGTGGTGATCTGCTAGAAGTCGTTCAGGAATTCAAGTACCTGGGCAACTATATTAGCACCCGTGGGATTGAAGATGAGGTTACGAACCGTATAACAAAAGCTCGAGGTGCTTTAGCCAATCTCCGCCACCTGTGGCGCAGACGCGACATCACTCTCGCCCTGAAGGGCAGAGTTTATAACGCAGCCGTCCGTTCAAGTTTCTTATATTGTTGTGAAATCTGGCACATCAGATCGACAGACATAAAGAGGATCGTCATATTCGATCATCGCTGCCTTCGCAGCTTAGCTCATGTCTGGTGGGAGCATCGCGTGAGCAATGAGCGTATTCGGCGTCGCGTATTTGGTGCAGGAAGAGCGAGTGAACCGCTCAGCACCATTATATCACGCACCAGGCTCCGATGGTTGGGTTACGTGTTGCGCATGTCAGCACACCGACTTCCGCGACGTGCATTGTTTGCGCGTTATGGGTGCGGTTGGAAGAGGAGGAGAGGAGGCCAAGCGATGACTTGGTCGAGAGAGATGAAAACCCTCACTTCGAAGTTGGCGTTGGTTGGTGCATCCCGACTGGCTGGCTGGGGTCCTAAGGACGATGAACACGTTTGGTTGGACACACTTGCTGATATGGCTTGGAGCCGGCCCCAATAGCGTTTGTGTTGTGAGTTCCTTTGTCCATCCCCCTCCTGCTTAGCCTCCCCCTCCAATCACGATCTCACTCGTTAGGCATAATATAACTCACTTTTTACGGCACGATAGCCAGCTGTTAGCTCTCCGGAACGATGTCCATCCGTTACTGGGGACTCAGCCGGCGTGCCACTGTTTGTTTTCCTTTTCTTGTCTTTTGTACTGCGGCACAATAGCTGAGGTGTCTTCCACCTGCAGCTAACGTGTATAATGATGATGAGGATGATGAACTTCTCCATCTTTTTTTGGGTACCTTAAGTCAACGCTGTCAACTAGATTCCGCAGGTGGACCCATGACGATACCGTTTGGTAAAGTGTGCTGTCCAATGAAACACATCCCGAAAACACCGTTAGTTATGGTTTCAATTTCGAAAGGATCTAAATGCAAATCGATTCTGTATGGGCTGGTGGTATTGGTTGCCTTCGAAATCACTGGAGACCCTGACCAACCAAAAAGGTGATTTGCTCTGCGGATATGAAACTCCATTTGAACCTCTCCACTACATTAGCTCTTTGAAATGGAGCATTCTAAGCCACAAATGCAAACAGCCAATGTGTGTGCAGGGCGAACGTCGGTTTCGGATTCCAACAGACGGTTTATAGCTAAAACGTTGGCGTAGCTACTGTAGCCCCGTTCTGCCGAGTATACACTGAGTTTCCCATGCTAACTCATGAAGATAAACAGCAATTTCTCAAGCAGTGTATTAGTAACGCTATGTAAAGGGCACAATGTTGTTCGAGTGGCCAAGGACGCAAACCGAACACTCACGAGCACAGATGAGTAGTCCCAATGTCAACTTAACAAGAAGCTGTTGATTTGGGCTGAACAATCGCTTTACCCCACTGAAGTGGAGGGTTTCAGTGTTGGACGCTCCCATCCTGGTTACGACTCATCAGGTAGAGATAGCCAAGGTTGGACTGGAACTGGGCACATAGTGGTTAGTGGCTAATGCTGGAACTACTAGACCATTGGGCTCCGCAAGCACAGCTTATCACAGCGGTTAGACATTGATAGTCGTGTTTTGGAGTACGCAATCCAAGACACACGACGGACACTCCAAAACCCGGCTATCGCTTTTCCTCACCTCGAAACGTACAGAACTCGTAGACGTCGAGATGGTGAAGAGATTCGACCGTTAGAAATTGATGTGATCTGGACAATACCTGCGTTTTTTAAATGCTTCGCGCATAGGGAACACAAGCGTGCATTGGTGAGAATATTGCTTGCCAGTGCCAGACGCACCTGGTCGAGCGATTCGAACACGGATACTCATGGCGGTTCATCGCGAAGCATGGGTGGGCTACATTGCCATAAGAGGGGATGTCGATGAGATTAAAGGAAAAAGAGATAAAAGGAGCCGCCCTGTTGAAGAAAATGCAGAAAAAGTGGAGAGAAGCAATCATTTACTCTGCGCTGTGCAGATGGGGTGTTGCACCGCAAGGATAATGGAACAATGGCTTCATACGGGTAAAAAGGTAAAAGAAACAGATCTCGTAGGATGGTCATGGTGAATATTGCAAAATACGTAGTACTCAACAAGAAATGAAGACTGTTGTGGCTCTCAGCAAAAGTAACCCATCGGCACTAAATCACATTTTACACGCCAACTGCATGTGGTTGTGGGGCGAATTACAGAGGTAGTGCTGACGAGACTGAGTTCTAGATGGCAAGGACACAAGCTAAACCGAGTCAGTCGACCCAATTTCAGTGCCTCGTGTTCCCGTTGGCAAGTACATTTTTGGGACCTGCTATGTGGAGTGATCCATTCCGGTGTTTGCGAGATTGCCGCGTCATACAGATGCACACAAGTCGGGATTTGTCGGGACTGTCGCGGTTGATAGAGAAATCAGTTTCTCGAAAAGAACCTAATTTGCAAGATTTTACCGAAAGTATTCATTGCAGTTTTTTAATTTACATATTCTACGCACCAGTGCTGCTTTGTATTACTCGTGTCTGATTGATCGGCAGTACTTCTTCACACGCAACATCGCGCTTTAAACGTCCCAAAATTGCTGTACCGTTAGAGATTGGTCAGTTGTGCAAACCCATTCGAGTCCGGCTCGTGCTCCCGTAAAAGGGGCGGTTTCCGCTGTTTTTGCGAATCTTCGAGTAAGTGCTGTTTACCGCTGAGAAAAAACGACAGTCTGTGAATCGAAATGATGGTCACTGTTCGCTAAGGGGTTTTCTTTCATAAGAGGCTACTAAATGTGCCGAGACGATTTCTGATCTGTATGCGGTGCGTACAAAACCAGTTCGTTGAGTAGTACTCGGTTGAGGTGGCCCGAGCGCTGCCCTCTGGAAAGCATACCGAGATATTCTGATCAATGTAATGGTACTGTTATAACAATGCGAGGCACACATACATAGCAGTATTTGCGTTCGTACCATGGATGTTTGTATATGAAATAGTATATGAAACAAATGTGCCCCATGCTGAGGCAGATGTTGAATTCATGATGCTTCTTCACCGCAGTTGGGCTAAACCAACTTACACTTAGACTGTCTTTTTAAACTGGGTAGATTTCATCCCACTTTATTTGGTTTGTGCTACGTACCCGATAATCTTCTATTAACTGGCCACCTTGTTTATGCCAATTGTGGTCATCTTCGTTAACTTGATTGCGTTTGTGGCCTTTTTGAATAATTTCTGGACATTTTGTACTTATCGCGGATTCGTTGATAACCAACTTACTTCATATGCTAATTTAAAGAAGAGTTATGTCTGCATAGCCGTATGCTTCGACAGATATATTTCATTACATAATGTCATTTCAAGTGATTGGCAGTTGTTTGACATCCCCGGTGTGGCTGCGCTTGATGTGCATGTTGACAAGGCGCCTACCTGTCTAGTATCCACCACCTCGTCCATACTAGCTCTAGGAGACCGTTGGTCGTTGTTGGAGGGGACGGGGTGCACGGTCCTTGTGGTCGTGCTAGGCTCGAAGAGTGATTCCATGCACTCAGTGTGGAGCGGACTACGGTCCAGTCATCGCCTTGTGTGCGATTGATTCCCCAAATAGAGCGCGCTTGTGTTTGGCTGTGAAGGAGTGTGGGCCGGCTCCGTTGATGAAACGTGGTTCTCATCCACATGCCTGCTGGTCTTATTCCTTCGGGTTTACATTGGATATGGGGTGTGTGGTTGGAGGTGTGGGTGGTGCGGCGCAAGCCATCCATGGTCCCTTTGTAGGCGCCGGCGTCCTGTGGCTGGCCACAGTGACAGACAAATCAGAAACCGGATGCCGCCAAGCATATGAAACAACTAACATGGCAAGAACATGCAACATGTCGCTGGATAGACCGAATTCAGTTTATATCGTGTAGACTCCGTCAGCCGCTTACATACGTACACAGTGAGAAGAATAAATAGATACGCGTGACAGGGAATCGGTATTGACAATCAACTGGAACTTGTGACGAGCGTGTCCTCCAGCGATTGAGCCTACGCCTTACTAGGGCAAAGCTAGACTGGCAATGAGGTCAAGTGGTTTGGAAAGGTTGGGTTTCAGACTCTGGATGGCATTTACAACGTTATCTGCATCTGCGGTACCATGTACATTGGCCGGACTGAGAAGGCAATCAAGAAGGCAATGGTGAATCATTCAAAGCCATCAATACACAAAATAATCCGACCCTGTCCAGTTTGCTCAGACTTCCGCCTACCAGCAGGTGAAGCCCAAACAACTTGACTTCGTGGCCATCCTGGCGTCGTCATGGTAAGGTGTAGGTTAAGTCACTGGGGTTATGATCCCGATCGTTGCAGGTTCCAGTTAGTTGTCTTTATTGACCGCCTGTCGATGGTATCCATCTAATTTTATCATGGCATCTATGTAAGCGACTGAAGGAGAATATATAAAATAAACAGAATTCGGCCTACGCCGCGAAACGTTGCTTGTTCTTGCCATGTTAAAATTCCTGAGAATGTGTTTACACGAAATTTATTTAAAGAAACGCCTCCGACCCGATAAATCAAACGAGTTATGCAAGAATAATACACCATACTATATATGCAAATATTCAAGTAAAACATAGAAAATAGACACAGTGGCTGCAGTTTCGGATGCCACTTCCGCAGGTTGGGCCAGGTAACCAGTAAACTGGCAATTACATCAACAGTTTTGGATAATCAGCAAATGTGAACTGGCACGCCTATTTCAAACATCTGAGAGCCATTCAGACAATCGAATATACAGTAGAACCCGAAAGCACAAAAAATCCTAGCCGATCGCAAACCAACCCACTAACCTCGAATCCGAAAGTCGGGCCTGAGTAGCGTCTTCGGTGGCACGATCTGGGGACTGGTCTTCTGGAGCGATCCGCGTTGTTGGGGCACTGCGCTGCAGTTGACAAGCAAACTCCAACTGAATAAGGTCATTTATTTGCCGCCGAAGATCCCATCGATCATCATCCACGGGTGCAGTGCCCGATGACAAGGTGTGCGTTGCATGGGGATCGGGGTGTCCATCGGACAGAGCAATGGAACCCGGATCGCTTGAGCGCAGTGGGGATTGTTTCCCATTTGAATCGACCGCAACTTCGAAGGCAGGCGTGGACTGACCGACACGAACTGGGTACAACCAGGAAGACTTTACAGAACGGGGTTGTAGCGGTGCCCCTGAAATCCAGAAAAATATAAAGGGAATAAAGAGGAGAAAAGCCCCACTTGAGAAGAGGGGCATCAAGCTATAAGTTCACTGTGCGCAGAGTGGGGTGCGGCAAAAATGCACTAAAACTGAACTTGCTCTCGTAAGCCGAAAGGAATCGCAGATGAGTTAGGTCGTCATCGAAAATATGACGTGGAACGACGAGAAGCAAACACTTGCACATACTACTGTTGATTGGGGCACTCAGAGAAAAGTCAGCTGGTACTCGTAGCTCATCGATAGTTTTACGGTTGTTTTTTTGTATTTGTTTGGCACCATGGTGTAAAACTCCAAATCCGTAAAAATTTTTAATTTTGATTAAAAGATCATCGAGAATCGGGAAATACTGCGTTTACAACTGTATACAGGTACATTAGTAAGCGGGAAAGATGATACGTCTAGCTCAACACGAATAGGTCGTTGGGAACAGGGTGCGCATAGTTAGTTCTCTCCATTCTCAGAGTGATTGTGAGCAAGCACAGTAACGACAGATGACCCACACAGTGCAACATACGACATCATCCAATTGTTAAATATCCACATGGACCTGCAGGATCAAACTGCGGGTGTATACGGCGAGAGTCAAGGGTGTTCCCAATCCGTTTCTCAGCCAATCAACATAAATAAGGCATAGGTAGTACGCCGGTATGCAGTACCGATGCTTCTATGTCGCACAACCACCGCCAGTCGCGCCTGGGTTAAGGATACGGCGAGAGTCACCCGGTCCCCTACGCAGGCTCGAACCAGCGACCTCAGACTACAAGGCAGAGTTATGATACTCAAGGGCAAGGGCCGGCAGACAATTAACATGCGCACCTCACATGCATCACGAATCAGGGCTGGGCCGTAGCCTGTTAAGACACAGGAACATTATTTGGTCGAAACACATAGTTCCCGAGAACACTTATAGCAGAATAGTTAACACAACGTTAGTTAAGCGTACAAATCTAGCGCAGCTGCGCACCTCGTCCCCTCCCATAAACAAGTGGCAATCTCTTAGAAGAAATAATCAAGGTGAATAGAACGACTGTATAGACATTCTGTTAACATTCGCATCCAGAACAGCCAGATTAGACAAGTCACTCGAGAAAGTGTGCCCATTGTAAGTAGGAGTCTTGCATTCCTCCGTGTGATTGCCGCTTCGCTTCTTACCCAGATCTAAATCCTGATCAGTCAAGTGTACCATTTGAGCAATTCAAGAAGCACAGAGGTTCAGAACGCGTCAGGCCAAAAGGCGATAGTGACAACGACCTCAACGATCGCTGCATATCGTGTCTGTCGGGACCGTAAGCTATGCACCGAAATGGTCTGCTCGGACCCAGAGTGATTCGGACCAGAACATTCAATCACACGATAAAATGATGAAAAGTTACTCGATCTTCCCATTCCACTAGACAATGCATTACTTAGGGAATAATGGAAGAGCTCGGTTAGGCAAACGATCGGCCGATACACGTAGCCTTCGCTAGAGCAACCGGAAATGAGAAACAAATAAATTCTAAATACGAAAATGAAGACTGGTATTGCAAGATGGAACCATTTCGTTTTATCTAATCACTCGCAAACTAACAACATAAATATGAGTCACGTGACAGAAAAAGCGAAGGTTTGGAACTGGTCACAAAGAAAAATTAGGTAGACGCAAGAATAACAGAGCAACGAGCTTGCTCTTATGGTCATGAGTCCCAAAGAAGCTTTAGGGAGACTGTTAATTGTTTCGGTACACAAAGGATAGGGCGATGCCGGTTAAGTGCCACAGCTTCGGCAAACCTCAAAACTTTGGGGTTTTCATTTCGATAGATAACTGTAAATGTTGACCCAGGGTCAACCTGATGGCCTGTTTCGATTAGATGTCTGGCGATAGATGATGCCGGCAGCTTAGATACCTTTTCTTGTTGGGCTGCTTGTTGTGTCGATAGTTTAGCAATCCGTTTTGGGATATGCTCTCCAATGCACTTACCAGAGGGTCGATCTGTTCTGCCAATGTAACTACTTCCGCAGGTGCAAATGGATTGGTAAATGGTCGGAAGTTGTTAGAACTTGTGGAACCACCCATACAGCTAGGTGGAGCAAGGAACCGTTCAGAGAGCCTAGTGTAATCCAAATAGGAATGGTGAACTGGTGGTGTTGCACAGAAGATCTGATTCCCGCGTCCGTTAAGACAGGGTCTATCAAACCACAAGGGTGTACAGCGCTGTGATGTAACTGATGCAATAGCGTGATGGTTTACAACAAGTGGAGAAAAACAAATGCAGATGAGCCCCATCATCATCATCATTCATCACTATACATGTTAGCTGCAGGTGGAAAACACCCCAGATGTGCTGCAATACAAAAGACAAAAAACGCAACAACAGGGAAACGCCGGCTGAGTTCCCAGTAACGGATGGACATTGTTCCGGTGAGTTAAAAGCCGCCTATCGTGCCGCAAAAAGAGTTATGCCTAACGAATGGGGTAGTTTAAGCAGGTGGATGGACAAAGGAACTCACAACACCAACGGCATTAGGGCCAGATCCAAGCCATATCATCAACTATGCCCAGGCAAACGTGTTCATCGTCCTTAGGACCCCAGCCAAGCAGCCTGGACGCACCAACCGACGACAAGTTCGAAGCGGGGGTTTTCATTTCTCTCAACCAAGTTATGTATTAGCCTCCCCACTTCTTCTTCCAACCCCACCCCCGGCGCGCAAAAAACGCACGTCGCGGGAGTGGTGTGCTGGCATGAGCAACCAGAAGTCCAGCCATCTGAGTCTGGTGCCTGAAATAACGGTGCTGAGCGGTTCACTAGCTCTTCCTGCACCAAATACGCGACGCCGAACATGCTCATTGATCACCCGATGCTCCCACCATACATGAGCTAAGCTGCGAATGCAACGATGATCGAATGTGACGAGCCTCTTTATGTCTGTCGATTTGATGGGCCAGGTCTCACAACAATATAAGAAAGATGAAAGGACGGCTGAACTATAAACTGTGCACTTCATGGAGAGAGTAATGTCATGTCTGCACCACAGGTGGCGGAGATTGGCAAAAGCACCTCGAGCTTTTGCTATACCGTTCGTAATTTCAGCTTCTATCCCACGGGGGCTAATATAGCTGCCCAGGTACTTGAATTCCTGAAGGACAGCTAGCTGATCACCACCAAGGGTCCACGCAGGAGTGGGTCCCAGTCAATCCTGGAGAAGAACTTTTCATTTCGATGGAGCAAAGCATAGCCCAAAACGATTCACAACCAGTGCTAATCGGTCCAGTGCAGTTTGGCATGTTTGGAAGCTGTCACAGATTAGAGCAATATTGTCAGCATACTCCAAGTCAAGAATTCGCTCACCAGGAAGTAGCTCCACACCTTCTAGGTCGTGTCCTGTGAACGCGATTGCCATGAATTCGTCAATAGCGAAGTTGAAGAGGAAAGGTGACAGCGGGCATCCTTGTCTCACACCGCTGGAGGTATTAAAGAGCGACGACAGCTTGCCGTATGCCCTCACTCTGCCTGAGCTACGCGCGTATGATGCTCGGAATATTTACATATTTCCCAGGTACACCTTTCCTGAGTAAATAGTCCCAAAGTGTACACCTATCCACCGAATCGAATGCACCTTTGATATCCAGAAACACGGCAACGGTGGGCGGCCAATATGTGTAACGGTGCTCCAACAACTGACGCAAAGTGAAGATGTGGTCAATACAGCCACGTCCTCGACAAAAGCCGGCTTGCCACTCACGAATATGACTTTCACAAGTACCAGTCAGTCTGTGAAGGATGACAGAGGCAAGCAATTTGGTGGCGATGGAGACCAGACTGATTACTCTATGGTTGCCGCATTACGATCGTCAGCCTCTTTTGAAAATTGGGACTATGATGGAGCGGCTCCAGTCGGTTGGGACAGCTTCCTGCTCCCACAGTTTCACTAGTAACTCGTATAAATCATCCACAAGAGCAGGTCCCCCGAAGTTAAAAAGGCTGAAGGGAGATCATCTGGTCCCGCGACTTTATGTAACTTCAACAGTTCGCTCTCATTTCCGACTTCTGAGCGAGAGGGCGGATCCAAATAGACTGACCAGGGAGCAGGGCGATCAGCGGACGGCGAGAAATCCAACCATTCTGACCGATTAAATTGCATTTCAATTGCTCAACCCAACCCTCCAAGCGTTTTGACAAGCTGTAGATAGGCTGTCCACTCTCGTCACGTATAGTTTCACCAACATTAGGTCTCCTGCTGTCAGATTCCCCTATCAGCCGGAAGAACTTACGATGGCTACCAAGGGCAGCGGCCATTTCCATCTCTGAAGCACGATGAGACCACCAGGATTCGCGCTCTCTTCAAGCTAGCACGAAGTTTTGCCCGGAGCTCTTCGCGAGTTTCATTATGTTCGCTTCCAGACGGAATATGCCGGTGAGCATCGATAAGTTCCAGAGACTGCGAAGAGACCCAACGTCCATGTTGGTGACCGATCCCTCTATGGTTACCACACTCCGAAGGAGAGCCTCCCTTGAAAATTGGGACTATGACGGAGCGGCTCCAGTCTGTCGGCACAGCTTCCTGCTCCCAAAGTTCCATTAGCACCTCGTGTAAATTATCCACAAGAGCAGGTCCCCCGAATTTGTAGAGAGCTGCGGTAGTTCTATCTGCACCAGCGGCCATATGCAATTTCAACAATCTGATCTCACGTTCGACTTCTGCGTGTGAAGGCGGATCCAAGGAGACAGCCCATGGAGAAGGGCACTCAATATCTGAAGGTGAAAGCGATAACTCAGATTGGTCAAACTGCGTTGCGAAGTGTTCGGCCCAACGCTCCAAGCGTTTTCACAAGCTGTGAATCGACTGTCCACTCTCGTTCCCGTATTGCCTCGCTAACACCAGGTCTCCTGCTACCTGTTTCCCGTATCAGACGGAATAACTTATCATGATCCCCAACGGCAGCGGCTGTTTCCACTTCCGATTCACGATAAGACCACTAGGCTTCACGGTC